CCCCCGCCCGCCTCCCCGGTCCCGTGGGGCGCGGAGATGGGGCCCCGCAGCTGGGAGCAGGGGCTTTGCTGTCGCCCCCGCAAACCGCTCACTTGCGGCACTGAGCAGGCGGGTGTGGGTACCCCTCCCCAAGCCCGGAGGGCCTGCTTGCGCCTTGATCTCCCCTCCAGGCCCGCCCTGGGGCAGGCGGGGCCCAGGCAGAGGTGGGTGCGGCCTTACCCCCCAGGAACTTGGCACCTCCCCTGCCCTCTGCATTTTTCACGTTCTGCTGAAGAATGTGTGTGGAGAATTATTTATTTTCGCTGAAGCAGATGTAATAAAGGCCACAGCTCAGCCCCTGTGTCTTCCTCGTATGTGACCCTCTCGCCGACCCTGTGGGTCCAGCTTCAGGTCGGGGCTCCCAGGGCCCCCTCTCCTCACGCCCGGCGTTCAGGCCTGGGGTCGCCTCTAGAGGCACCTGTGGGCCCCCGGGGCGGCGCCCCACTGACCTGGCTGGGACACACACTCACCCCCGCTTTGCTCTGAGGCCCGCCGGCTGACCCTTGGGTACAGCTTTCCACAGGCCAGCGGAAGTATCTGAGACCGAGATCCCCGCTGAGTAAAATACAAAGAAATGTTTACAAAAGGTGGTGTCCCCAGCTCCGCTCCGCGGTGACACGGGGGCGGGGGCTGCTCTCTGGGCCCTGGAGGGTAGGGTGAGGTTCCCGGGGAGCACGGGGCCTGCTCCACGAAGGGCATTTGGCCCAAGGTTTGTGTGAGGCGCTGGGCCTCCCCGAGTCATCACAAGCCTCCTAGCCAGGTGCACAGGTGTTCTTGTCCCTCTGTCCCGTCCTCACCCCCAGGGTACCCAGTGTCCTGCCAATACATGAGGATGTATACAGGAGAATATTAGGGTGAGGTCTGCGCCAAAGGGGCCGGACCTTGTTCTGGGAGAGACATGGTTTCCTGAAAAGTGTCCTCTGCCCTGAGCTGTTGGAGGGAACGCAGCCGGCCCTCCTTGGTGACCAAAAGGGCCCAGGGGGTGAAGGGTGCTGGAACGGAGCCTGGCGTTTGGCTAGCTTTCCAGGGCCCTTCATCCTGCCGGGTTCAGCCCCACCTGCCTCCCCCCCCAGACGGGCGGCTGTGTGGGCGGCTGTGGTGGCGCTGGGAGCCCCCAGCCAACAATAACGGTTGGTAGTGGGACTGCAGGACTGGGCGAGCCGGCTGGGCAGGTCCCCGGTGCTCCTGTGTGCCAGGGGCCGCCCCCCTCTCGGTCTCAAGGTCCTGTCCTATCGGCCCAACCTGTTCTAGTTCAGCAGGATCCCAGGCCCCTGGAGAGGCAGAGGCCTCCAGCCCCCAGCTCTGCCAGGGCCCGACCGTGAGGCCAGGCCCTCGAGGTGGGTGCGGGGGGGCCAGGCCCGGGCTGGTGGGGGGTATGTGGGGAAGAGGGTGGGGTTTTCTCCCCCAGCAGGTAGGTCACCACAGGCTCCACCCAGCTCCTCCCAGCCCTGCCCCAAATCAAACCCAAGTTTTGGCTGTGCCCCAACAGTAGTGCTGGGGGCCGGGGCCTGCTGAGAGGAGGACCTCCAGCGCCCACCCGGTTGCTCACCTCGCACATGCACGGGCATTTGTGCTGCTGATTTAAATGTCATTGTCTAGTATGTTAGGTGTGTATGGTTTGAAAATGGGAAAAACCGAATTGGGAAAGCTTAGGGGAGAAGGGAGAGGACCATTGAGAATATCTGGGTGTACTTCCTGCCTCGCGTTTTCCTATAAACACTTGTTGGCGCCTTAAATCGGGATCCTCAGGACAGTGCCCGGCTCCCCACTTCGGCCCTGCTCAGGAAGGGTCCCCAGGTGCCTGGGTCGTCCCCGCCCCACGGTGCGCGGGGTCTCGGCCGGGACAGGGACGCGGCTGGCGCGTGGGGGGGGCGAGGCGAGAGTCGGGCTGCGCCCGGAGGCGGGGACAGG